AAAAAAAATTAACAATAGAAAAACAACTTAAAGCAACACAATTCAATAATGTACAAGCAGGAATACCAATACATGGCCCAGTGCCTGGGGGAAGACCTGGGTTTTCAGCATCTTATAAAAGGCAAGTAGGGTCAGAGCCATCAAAATCTGGCTGGGGCGGTATGTTGTTCCATTGGCCGGCACAGTGACAGGACAGGCACACTTCCTGGGTCCCGTTAGATGGCACTACTTATGGAGGAGACCAGGAGCGCAGCCACCCTGTCAGACCTCATGGGATAAGCAGAATGCAGAATTCCCCCAATCATAGGGTCTGATAGGTCAATCTAGCGCTATGCTAACAAATCTATTTCCACTATTTAATATAATTTGGGGAGTAAAAATTCCTGCTTCTTGAATATAAACTTTGCATCAGATTTTAAAACCAATTTTGAGCCTCAAGAGAAATCATTATCAGATAAGCATCCAGGCTTATCTGCTTGTTGCCACTGCAGAAACTTAGATGCCTATCAACTGGAATTATATAAGTGCTGCATCAAGGTGATTTCAAAGGCCCCAGCTACACCCAAAAGAAACAAAATCATAGTGATGTGGGGGGGGGTGATAAAGTAATAGCATGATTTAAAATGACATGACAATAAGATTTCATTGCGTTTGATAGTTTCTCTTTTGCTAGAACTGATCTGATCTTGGAAAAAATTAAAAATACTGTGAATGTGCTTCCCACTGTTTTAAAATTACATAAATTCCGGGGGTACAGCATTTATTCAAATTGGCTTTCCTTGGAAGAAGACCACTGCTGAAATTTTAAAAGGATTTTTTTAGTTGCAAACATTGCGTAACAAACACAACTCACGCCCTGGGACTGACCTGGGCATCGATAGTGCCTGGCGCCCTGGTCAGATTTCCAGCGAGAAACAACCAGGCCTCCCGGGGTCTCCTTTTCTGTGTCCTGCTTAGCCAGCTTCTTAATGGAGGATTTTGGCCTTTTACAAGTCACAAGGAAGGTGGCCAACAATGAGTTCTGTGAGACAGCACCACCGGAATGCCTCCCTTGTAAGAAATACCGCGGCGCCGCTCGTCTTGTCCAATGTTAAATTGCGACTTTAAAAGACGCTGGTTAGAAAACAGGGAGCCTGTTGAAATGCTGTTTGTTCTGAAACATTTCAGAAAGAGGGAATGTTTCTTCCTTGCCTGAGAGTAACCTAGCCCGCTTTATGGAGAGCGGGCCTTCTTGGCAAAGGAAAAACTCAGCCTGTCCGGTTTGCGTGGATTTTCTGCTGGGGCTCCTTATCCCGCACATGGAGGCTTCCACCAACCGGCACCCAGGAACCGAAAGTGTACGGGGGAAAGCTGAAACCGCCGCCTCTTGAAGCTAGAGCGGCAGAGCGGCCATGGCAGCGGCGGCAGAGGCGGCCTCGGGTTCCGTGTGGTGTTGCCTGCGCTGGGCTTGTTGTGGAGAAGGCAGCGCCGGGCATATCCCTCTCAAGGAGATGCCGTCGGTGCTGCTGGACACGCAACAGATGGGTAAGGGCAGGGAATGCCAAGCCTCTCTCGCAGGTTTGGCGCCCGCGGGCGGGGATAAATCCCCCAGGAATCTTTGCACCTTTAAACAAATCGTAATACGACCTGTTCGTTTCTAAATCTATGTTGAACTTGTGCTGTTAACGAAATAATATGTTTAAATTTCTGTTTCTATGCTCGTAAAATTTTAAATTTGAAAAGTGTAATTTCTCCATGCTTCTGTCCCCCTATCAAAGACTTATTTTGCGCTAGGAAAAAAATAGTAAAAGCTGCTAGTATCAGCTTAATTTACTGTTTTCAAAAATGGAGGATTGCATATTTCATTACTGAGCTCAAGATGTATTCTTACCTATACCAAGAAGATTACAAATCTGTTACTGTTTTTCCTACCGTGAAGTAATTTTAATGATGCACTCTGCTACACCCAAAGTCGTTTATGAGCTGGACAGCCTTAGAAATGTGAATTATAAATAAAATATTAACAAAGTTGATCTATATGATTAATGTGGAGGCAACACCTACAATTCAATAGTCTCTCTTTCCTCTTCTCCATTTAGGTATGTGGTTTTACATACAGTATTATTAAGAACAGATTCTTAATTACAGGGCTGGCCTTGAAGACTACTCGGAAGCTACAGCCAGTCCAGAATACGCTGGCTTCAGTAATTATGGGTGCACCTTGTTTTACCTAGATAACACTACTTTGAGAGCTGTACTAGTGCGGTTGGGTTCTGGGTATGATTCAAGGAGATGATGGTCACCTTTAAAGCACAGATACCAGCAGTATCTGCCCATCCAGTACAATCTTCAAAGCAAAAATACATTGAAGCCAAAATGCTTTAAAATCCTTTTCAGGAGAAATAGCAGGATAGTTGGAAAACATTAGAATGTGCTAGCATCCTTCTGAGTTGATTGCATTGATTCTTAGTTAAATGGCTCTTCTGTGCAAAATAGATAACAAACATTTTTGCAGTGCTCTGACTGAAAATGTTTTGACATTTTGCCCTTTGATTCTAAATACATATTGAAAACAGATGCTTTTCCTTACTTCCCTTGTG